TCTATCTATCTATCTATCTATCTATCTATCTATCTATCTATCTATCTATCTATCTCAATGTATATATATATATATATATATTTTGAGAACCATTCAAACGAGAAGAGTCACCTTTGTCTTCCATCTCTTTGTTCTTAGTTATATTTAAGCTTTTCTGGATGGTGGTGACGAAGCCGTTTCACCTCCAAATTTCTCTGATTCGTTTTTATCTGAAGAAAAAGTTGCCTCAAAAGTGGTTTGATGTAATTAATAACTGCCCGAATTTAAATATTTTAACTTTTTAGCATTTTAAAGTAAATTAGTTAACCAGTCGTGAAGTGAACACACAGCACTCCAAACACATACCGTCTATGAGTTATCAGGTGGATTTGGTCGTGTTGTTGCTGAAAATAGAACGCGCCTAACAAGGGCCCAATGGGCACATAGGTATCTGTGTCACTGGGGGAAAGTGTGTCGTAAACTTTCACCCCATTGTCAGGGCTGGGAGAGCGTGAGCCCTCTGTGCAGTGTTATTTTTTAAAAGTCTTCTACCTTTTTACAAGAAGAGTTTAATTAAAGACGGGCGTGGGAACCGGCTTATTCTTTCTGAGCCCTAACGACATTTGATTGGCTGTTAGGTTACTATAGTTGTAAGCGATGATTGGATAAACGGGCAAGTCGCCAAGCTGATAACTGTGTGTTCATTGTGTGCGATCATAACGGTTTCAACTGCTTATTTCGTTATTTAAGAAACTTTCATTAACTAAGGGATAGAGTTGGGGAGGGGACGGGGTGGGGGTGAGGGGCTCAAGCCCGTAAGCCCTTCACTACCCACCGCCACTGGTGTCGTGTTGTATTTTCCCAGATATGTGTACTCACTGTGTCGTGTGTTGTATTTCCCCGGATATATGTGCTCACCGTGTCATGTGTTGTGTTCACCGTGATGTGTGTACTCACTGTATCGTGTGTTGTGTTTTCAACGTGTGTTTCGTGTGTTGCGTTCACAACGTGTGTGTCGTATTGTATTTCCCAGGATGTGTGTGCTCACTGTGTCGTGTGTTGTGTTCACAGCGTGCGTGTCGGCGGACAGGGAGGACACCGACAGGGATGTCCTGGAGCCAGAGGACAATTATGGTGAGGACATCAGTCAATTTCTTCTCTAAAATGACCCCCTCTCTCTCTCTCTCTCTCTCTCTCTCTCTCTCT